TTTTATCTTCATTTCGTATATATATATATATATATATATATATATATATATGGCTAACATTTCTAGCAAAAGAATTAGAGAAAGCGAAACATTTGAAACAAAGATTAATCTATCAATTTGAGAAATAACTTAACATATGAGGTGTTCTGTAATGATCTCTCTTATTGTGTATTTTTAGAATGGTTGTCGAAAAGGAATTTAAAAAGCAAATGTTCGCTAATTATAATTTAAATTAAGGAAATAGCAATTGAAATCTAACGAATCGTATCTATAGTGAGAAAGTGAAGCATCAAAAGATAAAATGAGTTTGCCGGAGAACAGTTGAGAGGCAATTATTAGAGACACCCCCAAAGTTTATCAGGCAATCAAACTGGTTTTATTATTTTGCACTGCCGCCTTTCTTAGATGTGCTTCAAAAGTGTTTTTATTTCTTCCTTGTATAAATATTTTATTTGTGATTCCAAATGTGAATACTTCTTTTTCTTTATTTTTGTCAAGGATTCTAAAAGCATATATTAAGGGTGGTAATTGCAAAATACTCTGTAAGTACAAATAAATAGATGAACGAATTTATATAAATTGATAATAAAATTATTATCTTTTCGGTATTTGCCTTGAATTATGAAGACAATTATATCCATAATACAGGATGTTTCGTAAGCTGTATACATTATATGTGGAATACATTGTGTAAGTATACAGAAAAATGTACACATTGGGGTCTCAAATCAATATTCAAACGTGGAAAATACAAAAACGCTGCCAAAATCTGAAAAATTACAATAGAAAAAGGCAAAATGTAATAAACATCGGAGATTAAACTTGAAGATGTTTTTAATAATCATCTTTCTTCTCTCTGTTTCCTACCGTAATCAAACTTGCTTCACTGTTCATTAAATTCACCTTCCTGTACTGTGATTTGTCAGATTTCGGTAGCGCTTTTGTTGTTTCCTCTGTTAAATATTAATTTTCGACCCTCCCCCAATGTACAATTTGTTTCGTTTTCATTTTTGAATAGGATTCTAAAAATACACATCAATTGTGGTTCTTGAGAAATACCAAGCATATTTTATTCAAAACTCTTTATTTGAACTTAATGTACTGCAGCAATGATTTTTGTTTAAAATTGAAGTTATAAGAAATAGAAGAAATTATCTACATAATTTAACATAAAGGTAAAACCTCTTTTCTTTTAAGACATTTTTCTCATTTCTGAAAAACATAAAGCTGGGAATAAATTGGTTAAATAGTTTATTAAGTATTTATAATTTTTATTTTATGCCATAAAGCACTTGGAATTATATTTCAGAGTTATAACTTGCTACCGCACGTGTATAGTTTGATACGTGTGTAGTTTGATAATTTGATACAAGTTTACTATTTTTGCAAAAATATATTATTTGCATTTACAATTTCATTCATGACTTTCTCCATGGTTCTCCATTCCCCCCCCCCAGACTTTTATTTTGAGCTAGATTATATTTACACTTACTTAAAAAATGTAATATCATTTACATTAGGCAAAGAATGACTCATATGGCCGATCTTTTGCCATTAAACTCTACTCTGAACTTAACTATGATTATATTTTTCTCTAATAAAATTTTCTCGCTATTCAATATATAGCACATTTGATGCAAAATCATTTATACAAAAAGCACTGATACTTGTTTTATTTGAATAAGAAAGAATTTTATTGAATAAGGAATTTGAATATTAGAAGACAATAGCATCAATATTATGTCAAATTTCAATGATGACAGCCTTCAATTCGGCCAGAGACTGAAGCTGCTTCTTTTTTTATCGATGCAGCCTTACTGAGGATAGCCTTTCACGTTATCTTGGGGATTGAGGTCATGAGAAAGCGCAGGCCATTCATGTCTTGCAACCTATTATCGAAAAACCATTACTTTGAAGATTTTGCAGGGTAAATGAAGGCATTCTCTTGTAGAAAATTGTGACTTGGGTCGACTATTCCCCCTTCAAAACCTGTAAATGAGACTGTAGCATTTTTTGGTAATCGGTAGCCTTTCTGTCGCCAAAGGGAAAGGCTACGCTAAGTTTACTGGAATAATCGAAGCCTTTCCATAGCATTTATGATCCGCTACATTACTGTTTGTTTGGAGAATTTCATGTTTCGTTTTATATATCCTACAAGAAATTTGAGATAGAAAAAAATTAGCAGCAGCTCATGTTGAAAGCTATCCACAAGCAAAGAAGAGTAGAAAATAAAAGAATTAAGATGACAGTTTTGTGTGTTTTTACACGGTAAAAGAAGTTTCTTCTTTGTTATTCAGCAAGATGGAGAATTGTGTGGGAAGGTATCGGATATAGCCTCTCACTCAGGTTGTATAGAGGCGCCGATGGTCAAAAAATTCTAAAAATATATTTATCGTGATTTGCCGAGAAAATAGGAGTCTCAAGTCAGATTTTCCAACAGAACAATGCTTCCATTTACGTTGCAAATTCTTCAGGATGTTGGTTTTTAGATAATAGGGTGCATACCATGAATGGTCTGCCCTTTTAACTGATCTACATTCCTAAGAAAACGTGAGGGCTATCCTCAGAAGGACTATATATACCAAAAAGTAGAAGTTTCAGTTTGCAGCAGAACAGAAGGCTGACATCATTGAAACCTGAGATAATATTGATGCTAATGTCCTCCAGCGTTTAGTAAATGGTACGCAACATCATATATTTCAAGTCATATATAAATAAGACGAATATATTAGCTATAAATAGATGTGCCTTTATTTCAATGAGGCACTTTTATCTCTCTTTTTTTTACTTATTTGCTGTTGTTTTTTTCCTGTCCAAGTAAAGCGGAGAGGGAGTCACTCCTAGTAAATATATGTTTAGATATAGAATTTCTTAATATATATGTTTCGTTTGCATTCGTTTTCTTCACTTCCAGTAATGACAAAAAAAATCAAGGAGGTTCTATTTAGTTGGGACACACTGTAACAGTAAGAACATCAAAAAGGATATTTAAATTTTTTTATTTTAGTTCACCATTAATAGACAATATGACCATTATGAAGAACATCTGTATGAACGAGACTAAATCTTTTTAATACATTTAATTGAATATTTGATAATTAGATTTGTAACGTGATTCAGATTGGAAACAAGCAATATTTTTGGAGCATCACCAGTTCCTTTTAACTTGAGTTTGACCTGAAATACAAAAACATAATTTAACGCAAAATGGTTTGAAATGTTGTAAATCATTGAATAATAAAATTTTTCATTAAAATGCACAGGATACATTTATTCATTGATTTGCACTTCGACTAAATTCACCAAGTTTCGTTTTTTTTAGAATATTTTTAACTCTGTAATTTTATGACGAAATTCAAATGGATCAAATAGTTGCTAAACAATTATGTCTTTTTTAAATTTCTATTTCATAAATAGAACTAATAGAATAGAACTAATTTCATAAATAGAACTATTCGATCGAGTGCATTCAAATTTTGCATGTACTGTGTTCAAAATAATAACGATAACAATAATAATATTAATAATAACATTAGTAATAATTATAATACAGGGTTGTTCACAATTCCCTCCGGGATTTCGAAGCGTTATAGTAAAAAAACGAAGACGAATATGGCAAAAAAGAACATATGAAATTATTCCGAAAGTATTCAAGTTTTAATTTAAGCAGTTGCCGGTAGATGGCAGTAGCATGTACCACCGAAGCCAGTTGTAGTGAAGAAAAATGACGTTTACAGGCGGAAGGAATTATGAATAACCCTGCATTACAGAATTCTATCATAACTTCAATGATGACGCACAAACCATCAAATGATCAGATTTCCACATATTACCTTAATGGTTTAAAGAAAGGCTTTAACATTATTAACTGATAGCTTAATCAGCTAATCAATTTCTGCGCAAATTTTTCCGAAATTGAACACAAAAGCGTACCTTTCCTAAAAAGTCTTTTTTTCCGACGGATTTGAACTCTGGATCGTCAAAATAGGAAGGGAGGTTGCCACAATCTTCAAAATATCTTTTGATAGTTTAAATGCGAGAGATGTTGAAAGTTAAGTGCTAACTTCAACTTAACGTTAAATTCACTTTTTGCATAATTTCGTAGATTCATGAATGTTTGGATTCTTTAGTGATTAATTTGAAGGATATCGATCAAAACGTTTCTGAGTTATCAAATTTTAAAAAAGTCGTTGGTTTGAATTTTCGTATCTAGGTAGGTTTTTGGAAATTTCATTAAAATTTCAGATTTTTTTTTTTAAAATCTGATTTTAAACGAAAAGTATAAAATTTGAGCAAAATCTTACCAAAAAAAAGAAGAAAAAGAAAATTATTTTCAAAATTTATTTTTAGACCAATTCTGTTCAAATGTTGGTTTTCCTTTCATTTAAAACTACGGTTTAAAGTGAAGTAATAATTTGTGTACCTTACATTTCGAAATGATTTCGACCATTATTAAATTAAAAAAAGAAGAAGAATTAAAAAAAGAATAATATTAAAATATATTATTTAAACTGGACTATCTTAATATAAAATGTTGCAAATTGTACAACAATTGTGAGCAAAACTGTTTTGATTCTTTTAAATAAATCCAGAGATATGACAAAATACACTAAAAGTTAAATTTTAATTTAAAAAATTCAACATTTCGATCGCTTTTCTAAATAAACTACTGAGACTATATTTCCTAGATTGTCACTTTTCTTCCTTATTTTGAGGTTTTTGCGTCTGATTTTGTAACTTGAAATATCATTTAGTGCTATTAGATAGGTTTTTCGAAATATGAAATATCCTAATATTATTTTTTCGATATGAGATGCATTTTTCGAGATATTTCTATCTTAAACGATTTGTACCCAATTTTAATTTTGCGATTACAGCGCCATCGGTAAACTAAAACGTAAAAACTTATAAGTTACATTGGGGTATATTTTTCTGGAGAATCCAAATTTGCAATTAAAAAATTGGGATCTTTTTCATGATTTTTTTGTTTCTCCCGATCTATCTTCAGAGAGTGGGAGGTTGAGGGTCGAGTTTGGTATCATTAGGCATCAAATCATTCGACATCAAATCTTTAGAAAATATTTCACATGTGTATTTTTTTACTTTTAAACCAATGCGTATTTCTCGTTGATAGTTTCCATATTTTTCGGACACCCTGTATTTATTTACAATCCTAGTTATTCATTAAATCATTATGTTGCTTTGAGCACAAAAACAAATATTTTAGTAAGGAAAAAAAGTTAGATAAAAATTTCGACACATTTTTTAATGAGTATGAAGTAAGATAAAGCATACAATTTTTTTTTAATTTTACTCAATTGAAATTTCTATCTAGATATGTAAGCTATTAAATTCTATGTACTTTTATTCTAAATCGAATGAAAGCAAAACAAAATCAATATCTCTAATAGTTTAAAAGTTATCAAAGCTATTCATAAAAAGTACGGTTTTGTTATACACCTACACTGCTTCACCGCCTACACTGTTATATCGACAAGTAGAGTATTGAATCCTAAACATTTTTAATCCTAAGCTAAATTGAATAACATAAAAATCAAGTATATATGACAAATAATTTAAAAGTTTTAAAAGTTTCATGCATAAAAAGTACAATTTTTTTCATTTATGCAAGCTAATGAGCATTGCTATCTAGACAACTGAGCTACTAGTTAAACAACTTCTTTACATTTAATTAAATAAAGTAGCAAAAAAGTTGATAGAACTAATAGATTCAAATTCATAAGGGTTTAATGCGTAAAAACATCTTAGTGAAATATTATAATTTTTAATACTTAAAATTCTCATAACTATTAGTCTCATTTTTTTCAGTCGACCATGTAATCAACTCTTGACTTGTCTTCTGTCTTATTCTATTTGATGTACAATGCATAGGATTCCATACGTACGGCAATACATAGGATCCCATGTTTCTTTTTCTATATAATAACATAAGACACGTATGTCAGTACAAAACTATACTTTCATGTATACTAACTATACTATTACTAACTTTCGGACTGGAAATCCCATTAATTTTGCTTTGTGTCATTCAATTATGTATAAAAATGCATAGAAAATAATATTTTACTAGTTAAAAAGAATTTAAATAACGTTAATAGATCAAATCAAAAATTGTACTTTTTTATACTTCATGATTACTAAATTCCTTATAAATCCTAGACTATTAATCCTGTCGACTTGATATTGGTGTCATTCAATTTCAGGTAAAAATACTTAGCAAAAAAACCTAAGTTATTTCGATAATAATATTTAACTTTTCCACTTTTTCTCTCATCCCCCCCCAGTAAATTTTAGATGATGACTATAAAACTTATCCAGGTATCTATATTGGGTCCAAACCATAACTTTCAAAACAATTTCTACCCTTTCCTTTATTACGTCAGCATTTATTAACTTAGGAACTGGCTTAATAGTCGTTTCATAAGCATATTTGGTATTTTTATTTTTCTTACAATGCACTTTGGCTTGAATACATAGTAGAGGAAGAAAAATTCTACTTTCTAATAATACTTCGGATAAACGCGGATCAGAGATCCTATAGCAAAAGTCTTACCAAAAGATAAAAATCTGCAGGACAAGATATTAGTAATTCTTCTAGAACTTCAGCAAGCATCATTAATTTGTTAGCCCAGAAACATTTTTCAAAGGAATTACAAGCAATTGCTAAGCAGCGGTTAGGAAGAAATTTGCTACAAAGTTGCAAATGTGTTGCTGCGGAGTTCAGTCAAGCTACCTCATCGTATTAAAATAAGGAAATAAAATGTTAATGAAGGTGAACTCGCAAAACATTTTTGAACCCAACATTTTCTACTTTTATTGTTAAATTTTTGTTGCAGTTTGTTCATGAAAACCCAAAGTTTGTCAGTTATATAATTCCAAACGTTTCTTTAATGCTTTTGTTAAATGAAAATCTTTTAATTATTTGAACTTGGAAACAAAGTTTAATCATCTCATACAATTGTTTTGCACTTTAACTCCTTACTAAATTTCTTACAAGTAAATAAATAAATATATTTGTTCATTTAATGATAACTAATTTTAGTATCTTTCAGCGGGATTCATTTTCTTGTATATCTTTTCAATGAAGTAAAATCTGTCAGTAAAAATCATAAATTTGGTATTTAAAAGAATAAAATGAAAATAAAGTGCTATAATCTATTTATTCAAACATCCATATTTTAAGAAATTTAATCAGTAAAATATTTGATTAAAAAAACAAAAATACATACTCAGTTATTATTTTAAATTTATAACATTTAATACGTTAATTATGCAGAAGGTAAAACTTGCTTTTTTTTATTTTTTAAATATCGATTGCTCCCGTATTTGTGTAGAAAAGCAACTGATTTTAAGCTAAAGTAATTCAAATATAATTATGACAAATTTATTAGAAAAATAAAATTTTAAAAACTGCAAAAATAAAAAATTAAAATTACTAAATTTCTTATCAATAAAACCTATAAACTGAAAAGTTATCGAAGAATTTAAATCAATGGCCAATTGAAAATGTTTTTTAATGGAGTTGTTTTAATATTTATAACGATACTTTCAACTGCAGATCTTAAATGAGTTACCTGATTCGTTAAATTCCCAATAATAATAATAAATATATAAATAATAAATATATAAATAATAAATATATAAATAATAAATATATAAATAATAAATATATAAATAATAAATATATAAATAATAAATATATAAATAAAAATCGAAAGTTGAGATTTCTGTACTACTATTACACAGGTAGGATAGAAGATGTTGGCGAAGACAATGGTGTTCAGTAATATAAATTTTTACAATCCTTGTTAAAAACCAGTTTGAAGACCCAATGAAATTTGTAAGACTTTCTCCTTCTCTCTATCTCCTCCAGTAATCAAACAGGTTAAGATGTTTTAAATCCTATCTTCCTCAGCAGTGATTCCTTAGATTTAGATAGCGTCTTAGCTTCTTCTTCGCTTACACATTAATTGGGGACCCTAAAGATGTATACTTTTTGACCTCGTTTATGACAAGGATTATAAAATATATAATGAGAGTGATCATTATGGAACACCCTGCATACTGGCTCGGAAATCTCAACTTTCCATTTTTTGAATTTTAAGTGTTTTGTACTCAGGTGACTCATAGAAGATCTGGAGTTGAAATCTGCAGTA